CCTGATGTTACGCCGGGGCACATGCCCCTTGCCCCCTCTAGTTTCGGCCCTGGGTGTGGCTGGTGCTGCATGCTAAGGGGGGGCTCTGAATCTGGCCGGCATCCCACCTAGTTCACTGACATCACTGGTTGCCAGTAGCTGGACAAGACGCCAGTCAGAGCGTCCCAGTTTGCTAAGAGCCCAGCTAATAGCAACCTGAGATGCTCTGGCTGGAGTCCTAAAAGAGATGCCGCCTGAGGCAATAGATGTACCTCCACGTCCCGGACCTCATGTGTAGCCAAACTCCAAACACAACAGCCTCCGCTCATCCAGTCAGAAAGACATCGGGTGCCCGCAGAATGCCTCCTTGCTCCAGTGTACAGAGATCCCAGGATCAGAAACTTCTGCATACTGATGACATAACCTTCTTTAAACCAACTTTATTGGAGCTCATCTATTGCCATACAGTCCTGCCTCCACTGACGCATTGCCATACAGTCCACTCTGACGCATTGCCATACTGTCCACTCTGACGCATTTCACCCTTATTAGCTTAATTGTAGAGACGTGGTAAGGGTGGGTGAAATGTGTCTGAGGGGCGGACTGGAGGCAGTACAGTATGGCTCTGGTTGAGCTGCAACAAAGTTGGTTTTAAGAAGGTGTCATCAATGTGCGGCAGTTTCTGATCCTGGGATCTCGGAACCTCCATCGGTTATATCAAGCTCATGGCTGCAGCAGTTTTAAGGCCTCATTCACACAGCTACATGCCGGCCCACACAGATCCGTGCGGTCTGCATGGCCGTATCGGGCTGCTCCCGGGAAGGACAGGTGTTGCGTGTGATTTGTACGCAGCAGCCTGCTCTTCTCTATGGGAGTACGCCGCCATATGCTCACCCCAATTGCACATTCGTATGGGTGCGGGTGTCCGTACTCGGACCTGCACCCGCACGGATGTGCAATTCGGGTGAACGTACGGCCGCATACTCCCATAGAGAAGAGCAGGCTGCTGCGTACAAATCACACGCAACACCTGTGCTTCCCAGGAGCAGCTCAATATAGCCGTTGTATGCAGCACGGATCTGTCTAAGTCTTGTCATGTTTAGTATCAATTTACTCGGTACAGCCCCATCCTACATGTTTTACACAAATCTGGGATTATTTTATGTTTGTATGCACTAAAATACATTTGAGTGCATTTTTTATAAAAAAAAGCCATAATCTTCCATTTTAAGATGTTTGTGCAAAAATTAAAAAGGTAGCAGGCAGCTGATAGGTTGCTATGGGCAACAGCACCATTTGAGTTAGAACCTTTTTTAATGAATTCCTTCTGATGAGGCTGCTATAGACCCCAGAGACGATAGAAGAGGATGTAGTGGGACGTCCCACCACCGGTGAGATCTGATTGGATGCATTGTGGAAGGCTCCTCCCTCGCAGGAACGCCCCCGGTTTCCTCTCAGCAGCCGAGCCTGGGAGCTCAGTGCTGGGTCTGCAGCGATGGAGAGTGGAGCTGGAAGGATGAAGGCGATGTGATAATGACGAGCTGACCTTCGTGAGGGAGGACCGCTGTGCAGTCTATGGATACCAGTGAGGCTCTTGTCTGACATCTTTCTTTATGGTGTAACTGGGGAAGAGTGAGCAAAATGCTTGTGACACGTGAGTGCAGCCCTTCTATTCCCGATAGAGAGGACGGTCCAGTACACACAGCTGGTGTCACAACCATGCCACTCTGATCGTTTATATACTCGGTAGAGGATTTGGCCCCCATTTACATTAGTGTAGTGTGTGAACGCATGAAAAGTTGTGCTTGCAGTGCCATTCTTTATTACCAGCACCCCAAATGTGTGAACTAAGATGCATGCAAAAAACACATCATGCTTAGCATGTTTAAGGTACCGTATCCACACCTTTACACATGTGCGTTCCATTAGTTTGTCATGGTTGTGTGCTGTTTGCCATGCGTCCTTGTTAAGTTCAGTGGGGCTTAAATGCATGCCAAACGCAACAAAAAAGTTAATTCAGCAAATGTTGTCACACTTGTTCTGGTTTTCTTTTACGTCTGTGTTTGTGCATGTTTAAATGCGTTTTGCAGCATTCTGTCAAAGTTTTGTGTGTGTTTTGGTGTGCATTCACGGGATGCGCAGGTGTGAATGTGGGCTTAGTCCCCGTTGACACCTGGGTGTTTTGTCACTCTCGTGACAAAACGCCCAAGGCACTCACGACAACACGCCCAAGACAAGGAATCCCATTCACTTGTAGAGCGCGACATAACGTCAAAGAAAAGGAATCCCATTCACTTGTAGAGCACGACATAACACCCAAGACAAGGAATCCCATTCACTTGTAGAGCACGACACAACGCCAAAGACAGGGAATCCCATTCACTTGTAGAGCACGACATAACGCCAAAGACAAGGAATCCCATTCACTTGTAGAGCACGACATAACGCCCAAGACAAGGAATCCCATTCACTTGTAAAGCGCGACATAACGCCAAAGACAGGGAATCCCATTCACTTGTAGCGCACGACACAACGCCCAAGACAAGGAATCCCATTCACTTGTAAAGCACGACACAACGCCCAAGACAAGGAATCCCATTTGTTTCTATGGCCCCTGTTCACACCTGAGCATTCTGTCACGTGACGTTTTTCCATTGATGTCTATAGGACCAAAAAGCACTGTAATCTGCCAAAAACGAAACCGCTCAAGTGTGAACAGGGGCCATAGAAGTGAATGGGATTCCTTGTCTTGGGCGTTTTATCATGCTGTACAAACGAATGGGATTCCTTATCTTGATCATTTTGTTGCTCTCTACAAGCAAATAGGATTCCTTGTCTTAAGTGTTTTGTTGCGCCTAGGTGTGAACGGGGACTTTATGATGAAAAAGTACAAAAAGGCGCATAAGCTTCTTCCTGGCACTTTGCGTTTGCAGTGCCAATGTTAATGGCGCTTCATACAAGACGCATGATTTATGCACAGGAAAAAACACCTGGTAAAAAAAATGCACAAAGCTCAAAATAAGTGCTTGCGCTTTTTTTTCCCCTGCACATGTGCTGCCATTCATTTGGTAATAGCACCTCAAACATGCTCAGCAAGACGCATGTTAAGAAAAAAGTGTGAGGCTTAATAAGGTGCAGAAGCTCCTTCACGTGTTACACTGGTACTTCCAAGATACATTTTTGTTAACAGTTAAGATAATTGAATGTATTTTTAATGTTAGTGTCACTTTAAGTGACTATGACCACCCTGATTGTGGTCTCTCTTCTCTTTCCTTGGCTGTCACATGGTGTTATCAATGTTATGACAGCTCGTACATGGCAGATGGGGGAAGATGAAGCTTGTTGTTTCCATTCATTTTTATTACCGTGCCAATCACATCCATTACATTTTACAAATCCAGTTCATTCTTAAAGCTGAACTCTGGGATAAGCAAATATTGTCTAATATTGTCGTGTATATTGTTATTTGAATCTTGGTGAGCTTTGTGTATTCCTTCCACATCTGTGCAGTAATCCAGCGTGACACTTAGTGCAGGAGCTTCCTGTAATAAAGACTGGTCACTGCTACCCTTTCTCCTTTCTGATCTTGTCTTCACCCCCTCCTGTAGTTTTATGCAGGCAGCCTATAGTGGGTGGAGCCTTCTGGCTCCTTCTCAGAGCTCTGCTTTCTGCACAGGCTGAGTACAGCACAATGTTGATGTCACCACCAGGTAATATCTGGGTTTTCAAAGGCATTTGTTGGCCAAAAAGTGTATTTATATCAGGGGTAGGCAAACCTCTGGCCTTACAGCTGTTGTGGAACTACATATCCCATGATTCTTTGCAAGATTCTCACTGCCACAGGCATGAATCATTAAGACAGATGCATGATGGAACTTGTAGTTTTACCACAGCTAGAGGGCTGGAGTTTGCCTACGCTTTAGGAATATATTTAAGTGACACATTTTTGTGCCCGGAGTTTAGCTTTTAGATGTTTACGTTTCCAGTCTCCCATGTATGACATTCAGTAAATATTTTGAGGTTGTGTTTAAACCTAAACTTGGGTTTTTGTTAAAAATACACTTGCAGCATCTTAAGGCCCCATTCACATACAGTGGTAGCATTTTCCACCCGGCACGAAAATGCGCAAACGTTAACATAGGCGCCTATTCCGCGTGTTTGCAGCTATTACTATAGCCAGAATGTGCCGAATCTGCCCAGAAAATTGCGCTTGGACTTTTTTGCGGGATGTGCGTTTTCGTACCGTGCAGATATAGCCCTAGTACGAAGAACACGCATAGGAAAAATATTTATGTTTAGCACCTTTCCGCTCGTACCAAGACATGCTGGAAACTGAATGTGTGAACGGAGCCTTAAGGACACTTAAGACGGAGAGAATAAGTAAATAGGAACCTACATGGTAGATAACAGCAAGACTTGCAGCCTGTGTCCCCACTACAGAGATTCATCAGCTCTATTTGTCCTGATCACCATTGTCACTGAGACCAAAAGAGAGGGGAAATGCTACATTTTAGAGGTTGTTATGAGAGCAAGAGGTTCTGGGAAATCTTCCAAAAGGGACAAATGTTCTGGTGACAGCTGTGATGGAAGATTTCCTCATACTTCCTGTTATGTCTTCAAGACAGGAAGTGAAAAGACCTCTCCCAAGCAGGACACCAATGACAAAAATAACCTGAACGTTTTTTTTTTTTTTCTGTTACCCTAAATCTGGCCATACACTATGCAGGGCTAAGTGAGAAAAAAAACCACTTGATTCCCATGTCTACACTGTGTTACCTCAGAGAGGGAGCTTCTTGAATGATAAACTGGCCATACATGAATAGATTTCCCCAGCTGCGCTAAACAATGTGGATGGAGCAGTCTTCACTGCTGGCTACTGTATTCTGACAGCCAGCAACCACTGCTGTCAGAGAACGTGGACAGTGACTGCATCTAATTGGTGTGGCTTCTTCACAAAAGTTTTTATTGAAAAAACAATATATGTTCTCATGAGAAAATGTATGAAATCCGAGCAGTGACCAGCGTTACCTATCCCACAGCTAAAAGAAATGTGTGTACATTGTCACAGGGGATGTCTGCTATGTGTTCGTTGAGCTCAAATCTCAAAAATGACTTTTATATTGAAATACATTCTAAGTTTCCTGATGAAAGTATTCCTAATCACAGAAATCGGCTGAAATTCACTCTGCCTACTACAGAAGGCGATTATTCAACATGATGGAAAATCATTGTGTGAACAGTGCCTGCAGCCAATCAGCCGGTGCCGCTGTCAGAATACTAAGGACACAGTGGGAGATTCGTTCCTCCAGACTGTTAATGTGGATAGAGGCATCTGTCATATTTTTTTTTTCATCCTACAAAAATAAATGACCGTGTGCACTAGCTTAATTCTGACAGGATTTGCTGGAATCTCCTAACTGCAAACAAACAGTCTGATGTCTCTCTTACCATTTATCAGCAGAGAATATTGGGTAAAACGTACCTTTGCCAGACCCGTGGTGATTCCACCTATTTCATCCTGGTTACATATGAGGAGATTGTTGTACAGGATCTCATTGCTCTTTTTTTTTCTTCTACTGACAAACATCTAATGTGGTCATCCTCCGATGTTCCATTAAGCTATGAAAATTGCCTGACTGATCATGTTAAACTTCATTCAATCTGTTTGTGGTTTATCACCTCTAATATGTTGTTTTAATCAAGGGTTCCACTTTTTACCAATAAATTGTTAGTTGGCCCTGAAAGGCATTTTTCCCCTACACCAAGAAAGTGGAATTCTGTACACTTCTTGTCCCCTTTTGAGTTCATGCTTGCAGAGAGAGTCGGCCTTTATAGGTACAACTCCTCTTCACATAAGGGGGCTGGGGGCAGAAATCTATCAGACTGTTCACACCCTATTTGTATGGCCTAATAGTTTGAGATAAAGCTGTCCTGTTCCCTCTTTTTTTTTTTTTTTTTTACCCTCCCCGGCCAATGAAAAAAAA